TTTTGAGTTGTTTTTATTTTCCGCGCTCAGGCTGACGTAAGTGACCGGAGGTGAAATTTCACCTCCTTAGCAACGCGCGCGAGCGCGCGCATGAATCGGTTAATGGGCCCTTAAGAGAGCGTGCACTTCTATTAAAGGTGTTTGCTAAAGGGCTAAAAAAATAAAGTATTCTTTGAATTGAACGCTTGTAAGAATAAAGATCACATGACATTCAATGAAAGTTTCCAAGTATGAAATTTGAGTTTTGCATTTTAAACCGTAATGAATGTCAAAGCGTATCTTATTTGTTCCGCCCTAAACCACGTGCAGTAGCATTAATTTGTTTTAAATTACGTAGTCTATTGATCTACAAGACATCCGGTACTCTCTTTAATCGCAGGCTTCCCTACGGAGCTAGTGGGATTCACTGACTTGTCACAACGTTTCAAGTAGCGTAACTAAGTACCCGAGACAAATAAGTATACGTAGGAGCTGTAATCATCTAAAAGTGAAAGCAAACTCACGCATGTGGTGTTGGCGAGATATTTTAAAGCGAAAATCAAGTTCGATAACCCACGCTTTAAAGTTCTGTTTAGACTGGTGTAGAAGGATGCGCTGGTGGCAAAAACAAACAAACAGTACAATACAATACAGTCATTACATTAATACATCGCACTTCTCCTAAGTAAGTTGTATACTTTTCTTTAATGTTTCTTTTGAGAATTTTAGATTACATCAACGCAGTATTTCCAACAGTTTACACTACAAGCCTGAGATCTTCTGTCATAGAGGCAAACAAGTAGGCTGCACTCGTAAACTCGTGTCGTGTTAGATTTCAGTCGACCTTGATCGTCTCTTTACGAAGGAAACCGCATTCACTACCGAGTGATTATCGATCACTCTCGTCCCCCGTCGTCCACTCGTTCTCGATCGACTGCCGTTTGAGAACTCTTTTGATTACTCCCAAAATCATAAATTTTAGATCCTGATTCTAACAAATTCTGTGAAGCAAATTTAAGTCCCAGCGTGATGAATTCGTCCCATTGTATGTGAAGAAAATGCCCAGGTCTACTGATTATTGCACGTAGTTTGAATGTTTCAGTTTCGTGATAAATATTTTCTATTCAAAACTGGATCACTGGATGAAGCAATTCAATAGTTTTCATTGGCTTAGCCATCATGGTATATGAGGCATTATACCATGCTCAACTAATATGGGAAGAGTACGCGCGACTTTTGGGAGCCTTTTATTTTTATTTTATTTTAATTTTCTCAGTATATTTGGAGGCGTTTTTAATAACCATGAGATGATTATAGCAAACTCGGCGTTACCGGTGCACGCTCGTGGAATAATTCTTAAGCATATGGAAAATCACACGAGCGCTCTTAAAATCAGGAATATACTTATTTCACATACTGATAGTCATCAAATTTTTAATAATCTCCCAAGACTTTTCTGTCAATACAAAGAAAAAAGGAAGATGGGTTACAGCTGAGCTACTTGCTCTCGATTGAATACGTGAGTCACTTTTCAAACTTCTTTTCACGGTTCGAAAGGCTGTCATACTGTTTCTCCCACACTATATTCCCATTGGCCAGATTGAATAAAACATTGTAGTGAATATTACGTGCTATTTTGGCTAAACGTTAAAAACCAGGGTGTGTTGGTGACGATTTGAATTGAGCGATGTGAAATCAACGGTGAAATTTAGGGTCAAAATGATCGATCCAATAAGATAGCGATGATAACGCCCTGAAATCTTCTGCGAAAGAAAATCAGTAACTTGACAGTTGTTACGTAGTGCATGAACTTAATCAAACAAAAAGACATTTTTTAACCATTCGTTTGCTCAAGTCAAACCCTTAGGTGTCACTTTTGTTTGCTCAGCAATTTCTTCTATGGTTCGTTCACCAGCTGATTCATCATGCCTGTTGTTGATGTCAATGTCTTACCTCCTTCATCTTGGCGTGATCTGTAAAGAGGTGGGACAGTTGGACCAACGAAATCAGTTGGCGCGTACCAGTTAATAGCTAATATATTCCGCAATTCTTGATCCACGTTTCATTTCTCGCATTTTGTGAAGTGATAATGCATCCACAGGTAAGCATAGTAAATTGTGACATCAGTAGTCTTTTTACCCACGGTAACTGAGCGCATTTTCTTGAAGGACTCCCCCGATGGGTGAGTGGTCTATAAAGACGTTGCGCCGACAGATTGATTCATTCTTTTGGTCGCGCTTAATTTGATAGTCATGACTTCTCTTCTTTACACCCGAGTGTACAATTTGGACTTTTATAATGACCGTTTGTTGAAGACCAGGCATATCTACTGGCTGTAACAAATGCGACGGACTATAGAGGCATAATGATGAAAAAAGCGTTTATCTTCTTCAGCGCAAAAAGGGTTACAGGTTTAGGAATATAGTTTACACGTGTACAGATTGCTGATATGATGTAAAATCCAAAAGCATTGGTGGTTTTTATGTACCGCGAGGTAACCCATAGAGTGTTTAGTCATCGCTTTTTCATTATTATTTATTTTTGGCCATCCATGTAGTTCTGTGTAGAGATCGTCTGTAAACGTAAATTTTAATCGATCAGTAATTTAATCCCATAGATCTCTTTGGTTTTTTGAATGGTTTTGTTTATTTCGGTTGTTTCTTTATTTTTCATTTTTTTTTTTCAAATGAACATGTCGACTGATATATTTGTTGTTGTTGTTGCCACTGTTTTTGTTGTTGTTGTAATTTCTCGCGGCTCCTGTATTTTATTTGTATGTATTTTCGTTATTATTTAGTGGCACTAGTCTTAATCAGTAACTGTATTCATAAAATCAAAACGAATGCTCGTAAACACAATTTTAACAAAAGAAAATTGAATAACATTATCAGATTTAACTTGGAGTTTTTCTTTACATTTATCTAGGTGATTCTGTTTTTCACAACTTTATCTGTGGTTTCAGTTTGTGTTCGTCAACTCGCGCGCGCTCAGTCATCTACGCAACAAATCACGCGAGTTGCACTGAGCCATGGCGATCACGAAAAACGTCATCATCCCTGCAAGGCATCTGTTACCAACATCACTGTCCCTACCGGGAACAGTGTAACTTTGTGCATGGTACCCACAGAAGAAGAACTTAGGGAGCAACTGAAAAAAATCGGAGGCCTGAACAGGTATTATGCTGCAGTAACGAAGGAGGAAGCTGACGAATTTGTAAGCCTCCTCCCTTCCCCCCGACCAACCTCTCCTAGAGAAAAAGCCGTGCCTTTCCCTATCATATGGAGTCATCTCTCGTCTGCAGTGTCACGCAACAGAAGGGCTGTGTCACTCCGTACAGACCAGGAAAATAACATAGTAAGCTCCAAGAAGACTCGTTGTATCCATCGTGGCGATCGAACAGAACTCGGCATGGTTCGCTTGTGTTCCGAGTGCCAACGAATCTCCCGGCTGAGTTCCGATCGTTTCCCACGCTATATCAACGAAGTTGCTTGCAGCGATGAAATTCCAACTGGAAGAGGGCTGGAAGAGGACGACTTGTTTTGCAACAAGAACAAAGGAATGTGCATTCAACGTTTTCTTTTAATAGATTTTCTGGTAAGGACTGAAAACTACGCAGAAGTTCCCTCGCCAGATCCTGAACGCTTTCCTAGAGCTTTCAAGCAAGTTTGGGAGCCTTACACTCAGAAAATCCGCAGTTGCTGCGAATGTCAATTATTGTAAAAGTTTGAATGTAGATTAGACGTTAATGTAGGTCGGCCGAAAACGATGGCAGTATCAAATGCTGGGTCAGATCTGAGCGAAAATGTCATGTTTTGGGTTAAAGTACAGTAAACCTTCCCCCCACCTTACCGTTACCTCGTTAATACGGTCACCTTTTTTATTACGGCCACTTATTTTCTGTCTCGGAAACGCCCTTTCATTTTCTTATCTAACCCTGTTAATACAGCCAACACCTTTAATACAGCCAACGGCCACACTCTGAAATCCCAACCCGTTTGATACTTTGCAACTTTACCCTTAACAAGGCCACTCGATTGACGAGTCAGTTATGTTCATCTTTCCATGGTTTTAAAAATATTTAATGTACTGACTGAATTCCAATCTTTTTAAAATTATACCTGCATTCTGCATGCTTATTAACGAACAGTTGTTTAGAGGTGCAATTGTGATATATCTGTCAAGTCGTCACTTAAAATGGAGTCACTTAATACAGCCAAATTTTCATCGCCTATAGGTTATCGTGTTAACGTGGTTCCACCGTGCATGTGGTAAAGGTAGCCATTTTTTTTAATGAAATAACCCCGAGAAGGTGGCCACAAAACGGAAGATAACAACAAGACAAATAGCCTGTAGCCAGACTCTATAGCAGGAATTTGGCATGTTCTCATGCTAAACCAACAAGGTAATATTGTAACAAGAAATTTGACACAATTATGCCATTTTAATTTAATTTAAATCTGACAAATCTGGTTTTACATGTATTCAGGTAGTTACTGTTTTAATTCTTCCAGTTACAAGTTTCTTGTGATGTTTCCGCAAAAATTATCTTTAATTTTTAATCAATGTACTGTCTAATTCTCATTACCATAGCGAAGAAAGAAATGTATGGAAACCAATAACGAGAATTTTTGTTTTGAACTTGGAGCTGAATGAGTTAAACAACACGTTTTACATGCGTTTTAAGAGAGCTACATAGTGTCAGAAAACTCAGTGGTAAGGGGGGGGGTCACTCCCATCTCTAAACTACGAAGATGTGCCGCCTCAAAGAGTAGGGTTTTAAGGTGGCTCAAAACAGTTTCCAGCAGTTATATTTTGATGGGTCATTATAGCCACTCTAAGACGCACCTTTCGGCAATGTTTACATAGGGTTCAGAGCCACCTTAAATTTTCAAAAAGTTAAGTTGGCTCTGAACCCTATGAATTTTTTTAAAACTTTGCCAAATGTTGCGTCTTATCATGCTTATTAAAATTTAATAAAATAAAAAAAAA